GTTTGCTCTAACTGGAAAAATTCCTTCTAATCCACAAAAGCTACATGGATAAATGAAACACATCTCTTTTCCTTAAAGCATTTCTAAATTACTAGCTCATGCTGAAGACTATTCCTTATTTTTACAGTATTCATTATTTTTTACTGTTTTTATGGTAAAAAATCCTTTCTGCTTGTGAAGGTTAAACCTCTTCTCCTTCACCCACAAATGGTGCTCATGTGTCTTTTGCAACAATGTAATGAATAATTGTACACAATGCAATTACTATTTTTATAAATATAAGCAGTCTAGTTATGGTGACAGATTCTCCTGTGTTCCACTGTTGCTTAAAGCGGACCTCGCATGACAATGTATGGCAGACTTATTAGGTAGCCCCCCAATTAAAAAAAGGTTAAGTCAAAGAGGAAAAGGGAAGGAAAAGGTAAAAAATACCTTACTCCCCATTTCCAGCACGCTTGCGTAGGCAAAAGGTGACATCACTAGGCCTTCTCCTGGAATATTGGCAAAGGTGGGGAGATTCCAAATCCTGGGAGAATGTGGACCTGAAGAGTACTGTAGAGCATTCTTGCGGGATGTGGGGTTCTCAATTTTCCCACAACCCTGTGAGAAGGCCCACTGATGTCGCCCTTTACTACAGGATGTATCTGGTGGTTATGTTTAAGGTGAGCATTTTTTTCAGCTTTTCTTCCACCTTTTCTTCTTTTTGTTGGAAATATACCAGCATCTGCTGATATGTACTGATTTTGTATTACTGACATTCAGAGATGTTATATTATCTTTTGAGCTGTAGATGTCAGTATAGTGCAATGCTAGCATATACTAGTCTTTGTGTGATTACTTATCTATGATTACAGAGGATGTTCTGTATGCTGTAAATGCTGTATTTTGATGTTATGTTCTTCTAAGCAAGTAAAAATAATTTGGCATTCCTCAAGATCCCAGTGCTTCGTCTAAGCACATAAGCAACATTTTTAACATAGCGTTTTTCAATCTAGAGGAGATGGGGGGACGACAGACTTTAAGTCTTGCGTAGGCTTTGTCACTCGGTAACTACAGAAGAGGACCAGTTTTTCCTGTGTGAAGACTCTTTAGAAGAATCTGAAGGCTGATACGCTTTCTTAGGCTCCTTTTACAAGGGCGTTCCATCTCTCCATCTTTGATCCACGACCACAATGATCAAAAACAGACTGTTATACATCCTTATGGGCAGTCACACATACGTGGAGGTGTGTCCACCAAATGTCTGCCCACTTTGGGGTCTGTTCAGGTCCATAGGACTGAACGCAAAACATTTGCATCCAAGTACACTTTTACCGACCTACACAGACACAGATGGATGTGAGTCCATTTATATCTAGCTACCCATAGTGATTATATGGGTCTGTTTTTCCCTCCTTCCGAAGATGGAGGAACATATGCCACAATGTGACATCTGTCTACATTCCGATCTGCCTCAGCAGGGATCTGTCTAGGATGGAACGGAAAGTGCCCGTGTGAAAGTGGCCTAATGTTGTTTCTAGGTAGAAAAGTAAGAGAGCGACACAATGTAACCATAATACTATATAAAATAAGCTCTTAGAATAATTATGTTCTGCCAGCAAATCACATTTATCCAATCATAAAAAGTGTGTCTTTACCCGAATTTCCAGGGGAGGTCTTTCAATAAACAGTACTTTACGAACAAGCATTTTCTTTCCGCCTTTCAATATGCACAAAGCAACAACTTCAATGAGATTGTGGCTTATGACTTTCTCTTCATATTGTGAGGCGTGTAGGTTCACTGGGATTTGTTTTTCTGTAATAAAAAAAACACACCAGAGGTCTGAGCATTGTACATATCTAATTAAAGTACTCTCTCTGCGGTAAGGAGCTTCTATTTGGACCAATTTACATCGGAGCATTGCGTTTATCACACATTACCGTGGTACTGTGTGTTAGGTGCATTGCCATTCATTTCACCCCAATGCAGTACAACAATACGGGTAACACAATACCATGCATTGTGGTACAGTGAGAACAAATAGGGCATGCATTACTTTTTTCTCACCACAGTGCAAGACAATGCACGGTACTGCGTTACCGTGTGTTGCTGCGATGCAACACATGGCTGCTGAGAGGTGCGTTGAGGTGTCATTGAAATGAGTGGCAATGGATGCGATTAGTGCAACACTCTTTCTGAATGGAATGGGCCCTCTGATTTTGTGATATTGCTGAATATGAAATTGTTTTTCATCATTCACTCTATCAGGAAAGCCAACTATTTGCTGAATGGTGATACTACAAAAGTAATTTTAGGTGACTCTTTTCACCTTAAAATATACAAATACATGCGTTCAAAGCTCTTATACATTTTTATATGTTTGTATTGTTTTAAAATGATCTCTGTTTTTTTTCTTTTTAGCTTTAACAAAGTCACTCCATGTTTCTAGCCACTTCATGTTAAGGTCATTAATGGCAACCAGTAAAATGTAACAAACGATTAGAGGAGCCCTATGTAATGTGAAGGAAAAATAAAAAGAGATTTAAAGCACAAAATTAAACAGAATGAGAAAATGAATGTACAACAAACATAACGCAGATATATAAAAGGAGAGGCTGGACTTGTAAAGATGATGTCACTGTGTATTATTGGGTGCTAAGACCCACCTATGATGCTATGGCGCCGCCAGCTTCTTAGTAACTAATGACAATGTGCGAAGATGCTGGCAGCCCCACAGAGTCATTGGTTGTCATTGTCCACTTGCCTGCATCTTAGCAACCAATTGCAAAGCAATGAGGCTGTGCAAGTCAACGAGCGTTATTGGTTGCTAGAACGCAGACGGTCATGGGGTCAGTTCACTTTGGACATCCCAAGTGAAGCATGGGTTCTGTGAACGTCTAAGCAAAGCGAATCTAAACTCACCTGAAGAGAATCATTTCAGAGGAGCATTCTTACAAATACAAACCATTTTGTATATTTCTCCAAAGTGAGAGTAAATCCTGTCTTAGATTGTTGTCACAGGAACAAGTGTCCCCTGTGGAAGATTTGTCCCAATATGAATTTGCCATCACTTTTTCTGCCTTTGGTTACACTAGTAAAATCGTGAGTTTGAATCTCCACAGCTGAGAATCAGATGGCAATAAAATCCTGACAAGGGTATCCGACTCTATTAAAAAGGACCTTTTGGCTTTAGACATACTTGAACTGCAGATACAGAAAAGCACGCTCTGTTTGTTTAAAAATATTTAAGTTCTTAAGATGAGGAATAAACCTGTTTTGTTTATGATGGGCGAGGAAGTATTAATATACAGTATATGTCATATACAATTGACATGCGGAGTGCGTTGTTATCCCCTCTATGGCCAGTAGATGGCATGTACATCAAAGTTATACAGAAATGATATCATGCATAAGAAATAATGTAGAGCGAATTGTCCTCAATCTCTTTTTCTGCAGCCCCTGTTATAAATGAACAGGAAGCCTCTATACTGAGCGTTCCTGTCCATTCCTGTCCATTCATAACTTGAGGAGATAGTATGTTTGCCATGTCCACAGTCATGAATGGTGTTCCCAGACTAATGGTATCAGAACACTACTGAAAATAGTATTCCAAGACTAATGGTCGCAAGGCAAATTATTTGTATGCATTTCATTTTTAACTTTTTTTAAATGTATCTTTAATTTTAAAACAGGAAATCAAGTTACCTTTCTTGGGGGGCAGTGTAAGAGATGTCTGATCTGAAAATATTTCGACCAACGGTCTGCCAGTGTACTCGATAGAAGATAAGCTCAGTTTTATCTTCACATTCTCAGTATTTTTGCCAGTGTTTTTCAGGGTTAGGGTTAGGCTTATGTCGTCCCCAAATGCTGTGGATGACGTCAGCTCGAATTTCCCTTCAACGGCTAATTTTTCTTTTGCGCTTTCATTATCATCATCATCCTCAAAGTTATGTTCACTGTTTCTCTTCTTGCGGCGTTTCTTCCCAATGCCTCTTTTGTTAAGTCCGTCCTTATTAATGATTCCCATTTTCACCAGCTTTTCACGCGCTTTTATGTAAATGGCCCTTTCCTCTTCAGAACCTTAAAGAGAACAGAAATTTGATGAATTAAAGTTCCTTGAAAACGTGTGATGTAAAAGCAGTTTTCGCCCCCCCTCGAAAATGTGTTCATTTATTTTTGCTATGATAACTTTTTAATATATAGTGCCATCATCTCTGTAGCGCTGTACAAAGTAATATTCATAACATAAACAAAACATAAGGGAGAGTAGCACGGGTAATATATAAAATATTCCAAAACCTGGTACGTACAACTATGCTAAAAGAAACAGCGGGAAGAGCTCTTGAAGGCTAAGGGACAGAATAGTAACTTATCAAAGGCACACACATTGATGAAAGAAAAAATGTGGTCAATCATTTTTTGCATTAGAGCCTGCAAAGCATCACAACCGTGTTCAGTGGATCATGGATGTAATACTCAGGCTGCTGCAGGCTAATGGTCCACCACCTGTCCACACTGTGGGTCTGTGTTTGTACCCAGGGACAAATTTCCCACAAGGCCAACGGAGGCCCGGCCTCAGGGTCCAGGGAGTAGAGGGGCGGCAGGGGTGTGAAATTCTTATCGCCAGACGAACAGGACATACAGCTCCAGGCACCAGGCGGGTAGTTTTCTACATTTGGCCCTCCTTCGGGCGAGCAGGGCTAAATGTAGAGCGGGGAAGCCGCTTTTTTGTTTACAAGTGATCTTGGCAATGTCGAGGCCTGCTTGTCCGTTTCCCCTCTGCTTCCCCTCCGCCAGCTACCTCTCTCCCTGCAAGGCGAAGATCCTCTCTTCAGGATATAGAGAGGGGAGCAGAGCAGAAAATGTCCATTCTCCGCTCTGCTCTGGGTAAACAGTGAGATGGGAGAGCTACACTCACAGACTTCCCATCTCAGCTGTCACAGGAGTTCCAGCACAATACTTTGCTAGAACGCCTGTATTGGACGTGACAGGTCCAATAAAGAGAACCTGTCACCTATTAAAGCTAGCACACAGGGGCCTGTTAACTCCTGTGTGATAGCAATAAAGTTAAGTGAAAAAAATTGATAAAAAATTAAAAATTAAATTTAAATTTAAAAACAATTGCTGAAAGGACCACTAATATTTCAAAAATGGTATCTATCCATCTACTGGTGATATGGATACTAGGGAGTGAGTTGTGTGGGTTGGAGTACAAATTGTACCTGTGGTATAGATACTGGGCAGTAAACTGGAGTGCAGGTTTTACCAGTTGCATGGCTACTGGGGAGTGTGTGTGTGGTGTATAACGAGAGATGTGCTGCTTGGTTATTGCTATAAGATATCTACCCTAAGAACCTAGAAAACCTTTAAAGCCCACGTATATTCCAAAAATGGTATCTATCCATCTACTGGGTGGCATGGATACGGAGGAGTGAGCTGTGTGTGTTGGAGTGCAAATTGTCCTGGTAGTATGTATACTGGGGAGTAGCTGTGTGTGCTGGAGTGCAGATTTTTGCCAGTGGCTTGGAAACTGGGGAGTATGGTATGTGTGTGTGTAATGTAAGATGGGGTGGAAGTCCCAAGCTTACTTACTGCTAAGGCTGTCCACCATAAGGCCCTAGACTTTTAAGTAGACTGAGTGATAAGTACACTTTTAATAGTCTACTCATATTCCAAAAATGGTATCTATCCTAGTACTGGTGGCATGGATAGTGGGGAGTGAGCTGTGCATGTTGGATTGTAGATTTTACCGGTGACATCAGGGCCGGCGCTGCCACTAGGCAAACTAGGCAGCCACCTAGGGCGCAGCCCCGAATACTCATCCCTCCCATTGTGCCCCCCATCTATTTCAAATTGCAAAAGCCATTAGCAGGCTGGCTTTTGTACCTGCCCACTGAGCGAAACTGAGAGACAACTTTTTCTCTCAGGTCTGCTCATCTGCTCAGTGGGGGGGGGGTTCAATAGCCAGTCTGCTATTGGCTATTTAAAATTCAAATAGCCAATAGTCTGGCTATTTCTCCCACCCAGGTGCTTACATTTACCTGTCCCCGCAGAAGATATCCGGCAGGAGAATGGGGCCTTGCGGGAGGGTTGCGCCGCTGGAGGGTGGCTGGGGGAGGTGCAAGTAACTGGTCTTGCCTAGGGCGCAAAATAGACTAGCACGGGCCCTGGGTGGCATGGATACTGGGGAGTGAGCTGTGTGCGTTGGAGTGCAAATTTTACTGAAGGCATGGATACTGGATTAAATAAGAAAAAAAGGAAAAAAAAAAAACGTTTTTTAAAACAACTGAAGTGGAAATCACTCATCTCATAGTTCTCCTTTAACTCTGCTCTAACTCTCTATCAATCTCAATAAATCTACTGTCACTAACTCCCTCTCTCCTTATCTCCTACAACACACTACATAGGGCCGCGGTGTCAGCAGCCTAGTATAGTGTGCTGCAGGGACTTAGCTGTGTACTGTGTACTGAGCCCTGATTGGGAGGGCGCAGTGCATTGTGGGATGTTCCGCAGCTGAACAGGCCGCGAACATCCCGCAATGTTCGGCGTTCAGCAAACGCTAGAACAGGCTATGTTCGAGTCAAACCTATGTTCCATTCGAACATGCAGCCCATCCCTATGTTGGAGTGCAGATTTTACGGCATGAATACTGGGGAGTGAGTTGCATGTTGGAGTGAAGATCTTATTTGTCGCATGGATACCAGGGAGTAAATTGTGTGTGGTGGAGTACAGAATTTACCAGTGTCATTGATATTGGGGAGTGAGTTGAGGGTGTTGGAGTGCAGATTTTACTGGTGGTTGCCTGGATGTCGTGCTGATTTAATGGTTTCAGTGCTTTTTTTTTACTTAACCGTTTGAAACAACTTATGCAGCTTCAGAGTTTTAACTTGACTCTGACTTAACTAGCTGCATGCAAAGTATTTCAGAAAATTTGGAGGCCAGAGGCAACTGAACAACTAGCACCCCACATATTTCTCAACTTCCTAAATAACAAAAAGCTCCAGCTTATCATTTTAGTAGTGATATGAAAGGTGGTCTGTTAACATAAAGGACATTTTGTGGCATTTATTCAGGAAAATTATGTCAGCCAAAACTGGGTGTTATTTGTTCTAGTTACCTTCTGGGTACTTATAGTTTTCTGTTATGTCTATTCTTTCATTGCTTCCTACAGCTTTTGTGCTGATGTTTTTCCCCACGTGTTCAGTGTTGGTATACACTTTCTCCTTCACATCCTTGTCATAGTAGATCCAAGTGTTACGGTCAGCATTTACTTCTGAGAAGATAAAAGGGCCATCATAGTCCAGGTCAACATCTCCTTCTTTAATGGCATGTACCGAGGCTGGCCCACAGCAGTGAATGCCTAAAATAAGAAGGACGCAATGAAAATCTATCACAATCTACACTAGGAATAGCAACCATATCAAACAATTATCCTTTCTCTAAATCATACTTTTTGAGGTTATTCAAGGTAAGAGCATTAACATAATGTTAAATACATTCCTGGTGATTAATCAGCCTGCCTTTGGGGTTTGTGCCAATAAATACTTTATCACAATACAAGGGTAAGTATAGGCAAAGGCTGTTTCATGCATCTTTTTCTTTCCTTTCTTCTTAAATTTTTTCCAGTTTCTTTCTTTTTTTTTTTCCACTTGGGCCCCCAGCCCTTGCTGGAGGTTCAGGTAAAACTCTGACTACAATACTCCCCTCCAGAATTGTCCCTTCAGTCATTTCTTCATTCATTCAACATCCCCAGTCTTCTGGGTTGAATAATGCAAAATATCACACGACACAGAAGATGGAGGACATATTGTGAGTGCAGGATGTCATGGGCCCAACCTTTAAGGGGGCTTCACCTTGACGCCCAGCAATCACTGGGCGTCAAGGTGAAGTAATGGCGCAAATAATTGTGCAGCACTGGTGCCATCAAGTCAGCACTGCCCTCAGCAGCAATGGAGACTCCCAGCTTGGAGAAGAGGCGAAGGAGAAGAGCAACCTCTGACCGGCCTTAAGACTTTAGAAAAGGGGAGTAATAGAAAAATTGAAATCTACAGCTTAAATGCCATTTAGAGAGGTGGGGGGATGGATGACATTTTGGGTTAAAGTGTGGAGCAGAGGCGGAACTACCGGTACTGGTACGGCCGGTGCCGCCGCCCGGGGCCCAAGGCAGTGGGGGGGCCCACTGAGTGGTGGTGAGGGGGCGCCAGGCAGTAACAAGCAGGCAGCTAATAGGGCAGCCCTGGGGCCTCGGGCGTGAGGACCCAGCGAGCAGCTGTCGTCTGACATTGCAGAGGGAGACCCGCGGTGCGTCTGACTGCTCGCTCGGTGAGTTTATTTTCCTTTTCACAGCTTTTTCCCCCCTTCCCTGTGCTTCCTCCAGCTGTGTGAATTGACACCAGCCAGGAGGACGTTATCAGGCAGTTGAGGAGAGGTGACTTGCCTTGTCAGAACATGTAATAGAACAAAGCTGTACTCCTGCTCCATCCACATCTGCCCCATGCTCCATCCACATTGCCCCCCTGCTCTGTCATGTGTCCCCCTGCTCCATTCACATCTGCCCCCCTGCTCCCTCTACATCTGCCCCCCTGCTCCCTCTACATCTGCCCCCCTGCTCCCTCTACATCTGCCCCCCTGCTCCCTCTACATCTGCCCCCCTGCTCCCTCTACATCTGCCCCCCTGCTCCCTCTACATCTGCCCCCCTGCTCCCTCTACATCTGCCCCCCTGCTCCCTCTACATCTGCCCCCCTGCTCCCTCTACATCTGCCCCCCTGCTCCCTCTACATCTGCCCCCCTGCTCCCTCTACATCTGCCCCCCTGCTCCCTCTACATCTGCCCCCCTGCTCCCTCTACATCTGCCCCCCTGCTCCCTCTACATCTGCCCCCCTGCTCCCTCTACATCTGCCCCCCTGCTCCCTCTACATCTGCCCCCCTGCTCCCTCTACATCTGCCCCCCTGCTCCCTCTACATCTGCCCCCCTGCTCCCTCTACATCTGCCCCCCTGCTCCCTCCACATCTGCCCCTGCTCCGTCCTCCACATCTGCCTTGCTCCGTCCTCCACATCTGTCCCCCCTGCTTCTTCCACATCTTCCCCTGGTCTGTCCTCCACATCTGCCCTGCTCCCTCCGCCATATCTGCCCCTGCTCCGCCCTCATCTGCCCCTGCTCCGTCCTCATCTGTGTGAATTGACACCAGCCAGGAGGACGTTATCAGACAGTTTAGGAGAGGTGACTTGCCTTGTTAGAACATGTAATAGAACAAAGCTGTACAAGAAAGTGTCAAGTACAACTATGTTCTGTTCTGTGTTCTAATACATCCCATCACAAGCATATCACCCCCTGCTCCATCTACATCTATCCCCCCTGCTCCCTCCTCCACATCTGCCCCTGCTCCCTCCTCCACATCTGCCCCTGCTCTATCCTCCACATCTGCCTTGCTCCGTCCTCCACATCTGCCTTGCTACGTCTTCCACATCTGCCCCCCCTGCTTCTTCCACATCTGCCCCTGCTCTGTCCTCCACATCTGCCCCCCTGCTACCTTAGGTCTGCCACTGGTGTGGAGCCCACATGATTTGGCCTTTAGGAACTCACCTCCACTTAATTCTTGTGGCGTTGCATCCAGCACCTGCCATCCTCCATAGCTTTCACCTAACTCACTTCTTGTGAACCAGCTCTCATTCCAAGCATGATAGTTCCTGCAGAAAAATAACAGACCTAAAGCTGTAACCTTTCTGTTCATTATTTAGAATAGAGATAAACAAGAGATAACAATTCAAACACATTTACTGGAAACTTGCATAAACTTGAACAATAGTTGCCCATTACTTTCAAAGACATTTGATCTATCGAGTACCAAACTCCTTGCACATTTTAGACTGGTCATAGATATTCCAATTTAACTTGTACAATCTGCATTTAAGTGTATGTCGATCCATTTTTTTTATTTGGATAGAGTGGGAAGGTATTAGAACCCCTGTCCAGCTTTCACTGCTATGTGGTGCTCCGTTGGACAGAATTTTACTTTCTGAACAATTGACAATGGATTTACTAGACAGGAAGTGAGCTAAATCTGACAGGTGTTTTAGCTTTCCCCTATTAGACTAAAAACGTGTTTTTATTTCTGTCAGGGTTGAGCTACCCTTGCTTCGTGTCTGTGAAAACATTGTCAGCAGGGCAGGAAGTAAGCTAATATATTTCTAACGCTGCCCCAGATAGCAGTAACAACCTGATAAGGGTTCTTTTGGCTGGACATACACTTTAAAGGGTCTATTTATGAAAAAAATACTGTATTACTAATAATGAATGTACTGCATTCATTGTGTGCGAGTTAACCAGTTGCTGTCAGAATTGAATGTTTATAGTGTATTTTCTTTTCTGGCCAAATGAGTGAATCAGCTAAATACCAGATTATGGCAACTAGATGGAGCTGAGGATAATATGAAATAAATATATGTTGGTGATTAGATACAATGTTACAATTCAAGAGAATGCAGGAGTGAATAAGCATATAAATGTAACAGTTGCTAACCCCATAGTACCAATGGTTACGTTTATATGCTCATTCTCTTCAGTGGTCTCTGGAATTGTAACATGTTATCTCATTACTTACAAATACAGAAATAGAAGATATGGAGGTAATGCATCCCGCTGGTTGAGAAAAGGCCCTGAGAACTGACATAGGTTTCCACCTTTCCCTCTCTATCTAGAAGAAAATAAAAAAAATGTTCTGTATGTGGCTGAGGTTTTACATATTAGCCTTCGGTTAAAAAATCCTATCTTTTGCCATCCAGTGCCTTTACCCGTGAATATTATGTTTGCTTGCTGACCCATTCTATTGCATCCTGTTGACAATGAATAATAGGTCTCAGATTGTGTTTTTCTGGGTCAGAGCTACTAAACAATAGCATGCCATGGAGGGATGTCCACAAAGGAGAACCTAGAATCAAGTTTCTCCACATGTTTCTGAATCCTGATAGTAGCTGGGAGATTTGTACATAATGGTTAATGTTTTTTCTAGTATAACATTATAGGGGTTAATGTATTAAAAGTCCACCTACCATATATCTAGGTGAATACCGTGTACACAGCATTATCCCCACTAGGAGCCAAGAATGATCGAAATTTCCAGTACTCCTTGGCTCTATCTAGTGGCAGTAATGATGTGCAATCAGGCATTCGCTGGGTGGAAGATTTATACATCAGCCCCAAGGTGTAACCAAAACCCTGTCAGGTTTTTTTCTGGGCTCTGTTAGAGTGATTTATTCTTACTTCCTCCCTTGCTGATAATGGTTTGCCACACAGGAAGTGAGGTAGACTTTCTAACAGTAACACAGGCAGACATAACTATGCTTTTCTTTAGTAGTGTGCCAAATATTTATTTGTGCTTGGGTTGCTGTTGCAGATTCCTTTTTGTTGAATAAAACTAATGGCAGCAGGACAGCAAGCGAGTATATCTCTCTAATGGAGCTCCAGATAGTGGTAAAACCTGAGCAAAGTTGTAATCCTTTTACTTTGTCCCGAAATGGAAAAACATTTTTGGGCTGGACATGCACTTTAATTGGCCTTTTCTGAGATATGAGCATGGCTTTATGCAGTTTATTACATCCTTACAAAGTCAGGTTTCCAAACAGGAAAACAACATCATACCACATGGAGTCTTTACTCATCGATCGGCCCGTACTGCTGTATATGGAGTCAATACTCAAATTTGAATCCTTGTCATGAGCTGAATCAAAGTTTGTAATCACTCTGGTTGGAAGTCCCAAACATCGAAGTACTGGAAATTGTGAGAAAGTCACATGTCATACTCGTATCAAGGAATACAGGTCAAACCCTTATCTAATTGCCTGACAAAAAAAGCTGACTTGGCTAGGAACTTCACAGTTAGGTCACATCAAGATGAATTCCCACCATGACAAGATAAGAGAAAATATGCATTATTGATTTATCAAAGATTCCAAAGCAGAAACTGTTCTTTTTCAAGATAGTAACCGGTCAGAATCTGCATTTTCCCCCTTCATTTGTAAGTATAGCCTACTTGCAGCAGATCTTTAACTCAGAACCCAGCACATCACCTTCAAAATTCGCATGGATCAGGACACCTCAATATAAACAGTGTACATCAGGGCTAATATATATATTTGACTCTAATACCACAAGCCACCCAAACGTAAATTCTGCTCAGCACACATTTTTGGACAATGCTTAAACAAACAGTTTGGCACTCAGGTTCTTGTGTCATGAGCATCCTTTGACTTCTGACCCTGACTTGTTTTCTGGATTTAATTTGCCTCTCTTTTGCTTCCTCCAACTTTAATTATATGTATCACCAGAATTAAGTAAATAAACATACACTCAAAGCCTTTACAATGGGGTCAGCAATCAGGTTGATTGTGATCTACTTGTCAATATCAATCTACTCGTTGATCGTGGCCATGTGACATGTAGATCACAACCCCATCATGCCTCTAGCTCCTGGCCCCACCTGCCGCAGCACCTCTACAACCTCAGATTAGAGTGGCAACAGGTAGAGCTGAGGAAAGTCTTAGACTTCCTTGGCACTTTGTGTCATTTGACACAAATGCAGAGAGACCTCGGAGGACTTCCCTCACTGAATTTTACAGAGGTAGGGAGAATTTGTGCTGTGGGACTTTGCATTATTTACTACTGACACCTGCACTCTGCGCTAATTATGGCTGATTTCTGAGCTCCATGTTTCATACTAGTGACCACTGCACGCTGCATTACTTACTCCTGACCTCTGCACTCTGTATTACATATTACTGACCTCAGAACTCTGTGTTACTTACTATTGACTCCTGAACTCAATGCTACATATCACTGAACTCTGAGCTACTATTTTCTGGCCCCAGCACTCTGCATCACATACTACTGACATGTGAACTCTGTACCACTCCTGACCTCGGCACTCTGCTTTAATTACTCCTGACTCTGCATTACTTAGTCCTGACCCCTGTACTCTGCAATACTCACTACTGAACTCTGCATTACATAACACTGACCTCTGAACTCTGTGTTGTTTACTACTGACCATTCAGCTCCCAAACCTTACTTCTTATTGGGACCTTACTAAGTTATCAACAAAAGGGTGCTGCACCCTGGTGAGCCTTGATCTCTTCCATGTTATTCACATAGATCTTCACCTCTCTAAGGTTGCCTACCCAGTCTTGTAAATATATTAATGCTACCAGCCTTGCCCTTTTCCTGCTTTGCTGTCTGTCTTAACCGTGGCTTGTATTATGGAATTTTCATTTGTGTGCCTGTTTGGAGCTTTGCCTTGGCCTTCTATTTTCCAGTGTTACTATAGTCACAGGAACAATAAAAAAAGACTATGATATTGAAGGATCATACATCTAAATCCATACAGTCTGCAGATTAAGACGAAGCACTTCTTTGAAACCTTAGACAGCTACTGCTGGGAACACAACGGCCCCATTCTTGTATGTGACACCAAATACATTTTTGAAAAGCAAAACATAAAATCTAAGTGGCTGTGATAGGCAAATGCAGTTTTTTTTCCTCTGGCTACTTTAATAAGTATTTCAAAGCTACTTTAATAGGTATTTTGTTTCCAGAGATTAGATTTACCTTCCTCTCTCACAACATATTGGTGATTTATTGATCATCTCTACTAGTGATGAAAAAGTTATACCGTATATACACATATAATTGCTTGCTATTTTAATAAATATAGTCTAGAAAGAATGGGTAGGAGAAAAAACTGTCTGATTTGAATGTGGCGTGCGTGTGACAGATTATTTCTTATGGGTAATACCAAAGAAAGGAATGGCCTCGTTCACAAACATAAAACAGCAACAGTTTAATGTATATCAGTCACTCATGTTATAAATTGGGGTCAACTTACTAGATATAGGGAGCCTCAACTGTAGCCCCTGACATCCCCAGGGTACCACACATTATATTCAGAATATACAGTGCTACAGAGGAATTTTCAGAGACTGCTGACAAACTACTGAAGATGGTGAGAGACTGATGGCATGCTACAGGTGTTCGAGGCTGGAAATATGTTACATATGACTGCTAGAGGTCACTGCAATTACAGTCCATTTATAATCCAGTGCTCCCACTACTCACTGCTGGGGCCCAAAGGTACCAAAAGGCTGCATGTGTCCCTCAGACCACAGGTTTGGCACCAGGGCTCTAAGGGGTGCTCAGACTGTAAAAAGTTTATATGAAACCATCAAAATAAGACAAATGCATTATAAATGTTTTCATTTATTAAATGTTTGTTATCTACCTGTACACAAGACTCCAGCAAATACCCAGCATTGCCCATATCTGACAGGCTTGTATCCTCCTCTACGCCACAGGGTGAGGATCGCAACACTCCCACTCCAGTCTATAGGATCAATACCACCTGTGTATCGGGTACCCCAATTTCCTTCCAGCACACCTTCATCATCAAAGTTGTTTATCTGGAGATAGAAAGTATTAAGACTTGCTTTATGCTTGGCTTTGGTAACTAAAACTGCATAATCTGGCACTTCTGGTTTGCATTGATTGATGGTTTCACCACAGTTGTAGTGAACAGACCTAGAGTGGCAATCGTACAACTATGGCACGCACATAAATTGGCAAGGTGGCAGGTTGGGCCTGTTGCCCAGAATGATAATTTGACAACATTTTTGAAGACCTTTAGTCTTGTACCCCAAAATGCTGATAATAAATTAATATTATATATATATATATATATCTATATTAGACATGTGCGATTTGTTTCGTTACGAATCGAAATTCGTACGAATTTTCCTGAAATTCCATAACTTTTCTTTTCTCCAGTTTTAATTCAGCCCCACTGTATTTTATCAACAATGCTATCAAAAGAAGTTTACAAAGAGGTAGGAACAGAATATATGGGTAGGAACAATATATAGGTAAATCCCATAATTCCCAATCATGCAAGCCATCCCATTAGCATTATCAACCAAAATGGTTTCACCAATAGCATTAATTAAAAATTTACCTTTTCCCCCCTGTTTCCTAAATTCAATAATGTTGTATTGTTTTTTAAAAACATAACAAAAGCAACTACAGCAATAAGCAGAGTGCATATTACAAAAGGATCGTCTCAGACACGTATGCACTGGATATGTCAACAGTATGGCAAGTTATGCACAGGGTACCAAGGTTGACTAATATGTATTAGTCAGCAATTGCATAGTTGGGTGCGTCAGACGGCCATGGTAAGCATAAGTAATCAGATGGAGAAAAAGAAAAAGAAGTTGGAGAAGGAGATTAGGAAAAAACAAGGAAGGACCAAGAATGAGAGAAAGAGAGAGAGGAGAAAGAAAGATGGCCTAGGAGATTGTGTAAGACAAAATACGTACTACACAACCCCCTGAGGGCGTCGTAACGACAAAACGCGTAGGGGCGGGCCTAATTTACATCATACCAAACATAGGAGATTGTTGCTTTACCATTTCACCGGTCGGCAAAGACTTTGTTATACTTGTTATACTTACTTTTTTTACTGGATTTAAAGTAAAACCCTCTTGGAAATTACTACACAATGATGAGCCTTTTCTTTGTATGATTCTGGAGACACGCCGCCCGCTGGACATTCATTAGAAAAAGACACAGCGGCTCCGTGAGTTTCTATACAAGCGCTTTCGGCTGCTTACCACAGCCATCAGATCACGGTGAGTGCACACTTTGAGGGGAGACGTACGGCACTCGCCTAAATCCCCAGCAAGTTTCACAGGATCACCCACATCAACGCATAGATTGCGATACATTTTGTTGCACCAGGAATGTTATAGGACTATATGGACTATTCACTGTGTTTTAACACTAATAGTAATATCTAAATGGAATATTGCAGGGTACACTGCCCAGGATTATTGAATCATATATACACAGGTGTATATACGAGTACGCTACTCAGTCACTTATTTTTGCACTGTCTCACTTATATTTAGAGCTATACACTGGTTTGTATATTTTTTTATATGTTTGGCGGATATATTTTGGACACAAGATACATTTGAAAGTGTATAGTGACCTATACACATTGATTGTTTATTCTCATTCATTACTTATCACGGATGGAATACAGTTCGATGAACCAATAGCAATACACATGTTACTTACTTAGTAAGGCACATTCACAAGAGTGGCGCTGCATATTTGTAAATACACAAAATACGTACTACATAAGACAAATGCTCCAATGCTCAAGTTCCCAGCAAGGATTTTTTGAAATGAGGTGGTAGAAAATTAGACCTTTTCCCCCTTTTTTTGTTTTTCATTCTGTGGTCAGATGACCATTAAGGCACAACTTTTGCATCTGCAGGCCAGGCTGTGGACAGGGGGAATCATCACACTGCGCTTTGAGGGAATTTAAAGGAGAACTATGAGGTGAGTGATTTCCATTCACCCTCATAGTTAGAGCCGACCTGTGACAAAGAAGCTGTCACAGGTCGGATCTATTGATCGGGAAGTGAGTAGAAACATATTTTAATTTAATTTAAATAAAGCAATTGTCAAAAATCTGTGTTTTGTTCAATTAAAGGATTTTTTCTAAGCTGTTGTGTGTTTATTTACATTTTATTTAACCCTTTAGTGAATGAGTAGGGGTATGCAAGTACATCTAGTGTACAGCAGAGCTGGGGGGGAAGCAGCCCAAGGTGCCAGTCAGTGGAGCTGCAGTGACGGGTGTGCACTGATAGAGAGTGCAGACCCTGCACTGTCCAGGTGGAGAGGAGAGCTGTAAGTGAAAGTGAAATGGCAGCAGAGAAAGATCAGGTCATCTCCCCTGCCAGACATGACTGTTCTCTGTGGCAGAGCTGTAAATATATCTGGACTGGATGGACAGAAATACAAATCTTTTGGCAAGTAAAACAGCTATCATACATTTAGTCTGTTTATGTTTAGCTGTTTGCCTGGAGTTCAGCTTTAAATGAAAGAATGATTGTAAGACAAATACACTTAATTAAAAGATTGGTCCCGCATGAGACAGGAAAGATTCATTTTCAAAGGTGGGAATGGCACAAGACAACCACCGTGGTACAGCAGGAAAGTGGCAGAGAGTCGCCAGCATGGTAAGAATTAGATGATAGCGCAAGGCCAGAAAAGCCCAAGGATAAAAAGGTGCTGAATGTAGCATGTGATTGCTGCATAGGACACATTATGACTCACTATATGAAAAAACAAAACAACGGGAGCTTTACAAACACGTTGTATAGCAAATCTATAAAGCCAGTGTGTGAAAACATACCATTGCACTGAGTACTCTGCCCACATAAGCAGGATCATATCTCCTTGAGGTGTCCAGGGCCTCATCTTCCTTATAGTTCAAACTTCTGTCTAACATCTGTAGACATGTCTCCAAAATCCCTTCTTGAAACTGAAACATAATGTCAGCAAAATTAGCTTGATAGAGAGAATGAAAGTTCAAACCGATAAACCACAGAAAATGTTCATATAATTTTACTGATCCCATATTTTACGAAGGGGTAAGTAGAGACCTGGATGGAGGGAGGCCGGTAGATGTCGTATATTTGGACTTTTCAAAAGCATTTGACACGGTACCACATAAACGTTTACTACACAAACTGAGAACCATGGGCATAGATGAAATAGTGTGTACGTGGATAGAAAACTGGCTACTGGAACGCGTCCAGCGAGTATCGATAAATGGCACCTACTCAGATTGGTCCAGGGTCATGAGCGGCGTGCCACAGGGTTCTGTGCTGGGCCCCATGCTGTTTAACCTATTCATTAACGATATTGGGAAGGGGGTAAACAGCCATGTTTCAGTGTTTGCTGATGACACCAAAATCGGGAGGGTAATAGACACGGACTTAGACGCCATAACATTATAGGGGGACCTGGATAAAATAGGGGAGTGGGCAAGTACATGGCAGATGAGATTTAATGTTGATAAATGTAAAGTAATGCACTTTGGGGTTAAAAATAAGCAAGCGGATTACACACTTATGGGATCTCCACTGGGGAAGTCAGAAAGGGAAAAAGATTTGGGGGTTATTATAGACCACAGGTTGAATAATAGCTCGCATTGTCAGGCTGCGGTAAACAAAGCAAGTAGGGCCTTGTCCTGTATTAACCCTTTCGCTGCCAAGGACGTACGTCGTACGGAGCTAGGAGGGACGACCGATGGGACAGCCGGGTAAAAAAGCCTGGGGACGGAGGTGGGGGGGGTACAGGCCTAAAGTTGTGTACGGGGCCCCAAAATTTCTGAAGGCTGCCCTGTATGCGTTCCAGTTTTGGGCACCAGTGAACAGAAAGGATGTCCTTGAACTGGAAAGAGTCCAGAGGAGGGCAACCAAACTCATAAAGGGGATGGAGGACCTGAGCTATTAGAGCAGGTTACTAAATTTAAACATGTTCTTATTGGAAGTAATGAGATTAAGGGGGGATATGATTTTCATGTACAAAATGTTTACTGTGGATAGCAACATTAGCAGCAAACTCTTTACAATTAACTCCATGACAAGGACAAGAGGCCACCACCTAAAATTGGTGGAGAAAAAATGTCAACACAAGGGGCGAAGGGGTTTCTTCTCAGTTAGTTCAGTCAACATCTGGAACTCGCTGCCACATGCTGTGATTTCAGCTAAGCGTGTGGAATCATTCAAGAGGCGATTGGACGATTTCCTCAGGGACCTTAATATACAGGGGTACAAGCACTCTTAAGAATGAGATCAAACAGGGACCTATATATACATACGCACACATCAGTAGGGCCATACACATGCACACAATAGGTTGGACTTGATGGACATGTGTCTTTATTCAACCTTAATTACTATCTAACTATGTAGCTATATGTCATAAACAGGCTCTTCCAATGGTAGCATAGTCTGGTGTCTGCAGACAAGTAGGGTTTTGTCTTGAAGCACCTTGGAAGTCCTAAAACTAGGGAGACTTCACTATGCAAATTTTGACTTTTCACGTTGTCGGTGGCCGGCCCCTTCAACCTCCTGTGGGTCTCTTTTGGACAGTTAGACAACCTTTCATAGCAATGGGCCATTAGAGATGCAAGAAGTGTAAAGCTGGCTATACACCTATAGATTATCTGCAGATTTTCTGTGGTCAGGTGTAAAAAGTGCAACAGATTCCTCCATCTACGCTAAGCTAAGTGGATGGAGGAATCTCCCACTGGGCCAAGCTTCAGTATCTTGCTAGTCGGCCCCACTAAAATACCTGAACAATCTGATTGGATGCAGGCATTGTTCAGGTATTTTGAGAGCCAGCGGGGTCGACTAGCCAGATACTGAAGCTTGGCCCAGTGGGAGATTCCTCCATCCACACAGTTTAGCATAGATGGAGGAACCTGTTGCACTTTTTCTATCTAACCATAGAAAAGCTGCAGATAATCTATAGGTGTATAGCCAGCTTAGGGACAAGCATTGGTGAAGTTGAAATTTGTGTTCTGGAGCACTTAAGTGTAGGAGCTCCCAGACTACACTAATACCAAGTCTCACCTATATGCACCTGGAGATGCCTAATAATTAGACATGTAAACGGCAATAAAATTTGCTTCCGACAAATTAAAACACAAAACATTTTCATTAGTTTCATCAAAGGAAACTCATTTTTTTGCTGTTTTGGATTCGGAGGTAACAAGCCTCTGAACCTGAAACCGAAACCTCAAACTGAAACCTGCATGTTCGCCAATTAGGAAGCTGGAGGGAGAGTCATTACCTGCCTCCTGGCTTCTTGATTGGCCAGGAGGCCAGCTCCATGCTCCCTGGTGACCAGAAGTTACGGTATCGGTATAAATATATGAGGACCAACTGGGCAGGTACGAGTATTCACCCAAATACTCTGTATCGGCACCAATACCGATACTAGTAAAACTATACACCAGAAATGTAACTGTATATACCAAATTACAGATCATAAGGTATACAATAATATGCAATTTCATAAGTTCTTTGACCTTGGTTTAGCATAATATTACTTAAAGGAAACCTGTCATGAGAGAGATATGGGGGCTGTCATTGTTGACCTGAAAATGCTAGTTGCCTTTCATGCTCACCCAGTGGCAAAACACTGTAATTCACTTTACATATAACAAGTAACAGATAAGGACTTTTCTTTTTTCACATATCTTGATTAGTCACTGAAAAAGTGCTAAAGTCAATGGATTCTTACAGTCAGGCAACTAACAATTTCAGAAGCTATTCATTGATAGCATTCTCTCTATTTCTCCTACAGGTTTACTTTTATATAAGGAACATTTAAAAAAAAAAGAACTATAAGAAACTGAAAAGCAAAAATATGTTCTTACTTGCCCAAAGTTCCATCCCATTTCCTTAATGGAATCTTTTTGGCCATAATAAATGATCCCGCTGTCATTCAAAACATACTCAAGTCTTTCATTTTCATCTTCCAAAAAGACAGCGTCATCTGAAGACAAACATGTATAAACACTTGCATTAAGTTTCCTCTTTGCTAAAGAAATTAAATGGCATTATACTATATTTACAAAAGCCAAGCTGCTGAGCTAACAAAGATCTGAGTGTAGATTGAAATACTAAACTATATTGTTCTATATTGTAAAGGGAGAACGTCTGCAAGCATTCAAAATATAGATTGCCTGTTTAAAAAAAAAAGCCACACACTAATATTTTGTTGAACCGCCTTTAGCTTTGATGTGTGTAAAATACTTAGATTCATATTTGATTTGGCTTAAAGGGAATTATAGAATGGGCCCATATATATTTACAGTGACCTCGTGCGTTTAAATGAAGCTTATGAATGTATGGCTTTGAAGCAGACATATCCTTTGCTGTCCTTGAAATCTGAGCTATGTCAGAATTTGAAGAGAATTGTAAGAGTTGGCCGCTGTTCGAAATATGTCAAGAGAAGGCTGTCCGTATTCAAAATAGGTGTGAAGAATGACGTTTAGAAATCTTGATGACTAAAGTAGTTTTGGTCAAGCCATATAAAGAAAGTATAGGAGTCGTGATGTCAGAAATGAGTTAAGAATATGCTTACATAGTATATGACCTTATAGGATAAGCCAATCATTAACGTCGATTTTGGAATATAAGCGTGGGTCGACTTCACACTATACACACCTCATCACATTACATGACACTACATCACCCTACTTTACATCACACTACACTATTTCACGCGAAGAGAACTCTAACACGCCCACAAGAAGAGACGTTGTTATTCCACCTGCTAAGCAGACTATTTTGGCTGAACCGTTCAGAAGCCTTAGAGAATACCACGAGGTAAAGACTCAGAACTCTTTAAACTCTGCATTAACTAAGAACTATATACTTTGAACTATCTATTTGTATATTATATTTTTGCTATACCATTGATTGCTGTGACTTCCCATTATACAATTAAAGTCACAAGTTTTTCACTCTACAACTGGACATTCATTGATGAAGATTAATCACCTTAAGACGCTTAAATCGTGTCAGTCAAGAAATATTTATTTTCTAACAATGTGGGTCGCCAGACATGCTCCATGTCAGCTTGACAAAGAGGAAGTCCTCGAAACGCGTTGCTCTCCTTTCATTTTTGGTCCCACCAGTACATTTGACGCTGCTGACTGTCTTTTTTTGAAAATATCCACTGTCTGACGACCCACATGCCGCCCTTTCTCCTCACATTGACAGTCACAGGACTTTACCTTGCACCAAGCGGTGTGTTCCACAGCCGCATCCACAGCCGCGGAGTCCGAATGTATGCCGCCGAGTCCCACTCACACTGCATCAATCCCCCCCGCAGACACAGCAGGGACATGGAGGGACCTCCGCCTTCCCTTCTCCCTCCAGTTTCCAGCCACTTGCTCGCCTGGACGGGCTCTCCCCTGTTGGGCACCCACCCAGCGAAGGCACTCTCCTTGGACCCCTCGATGCTCTCCAGAGGCCTCCTTCCCTCTAGTCCCTGGACACTAATGTAAGTGAGATTTTTTTTTTTTTTGCCTTTCACTGAGCTGGCCAGCCTATAGTGAGCACACACATACACTCAGGTTATTGCGTCCTTTTTAGTTGTATCAATTACAGGTGCCTCCTCCTGGTTTTTAGGGCTGCATACCACACCACTTTTAATTCCACCCGAGAGCTCTGTACATTGTTTTTGTTGTTCATGCAATAATAGAGTAAAAGGAGAGACGTCAGCAGCACTCAATCCACCAAACTCAATATGTTGTCTTGTGGAAGAGGCCTTACATAACCCCAAACTATGTGAGGTTGTACAAGAAAAAAAATGAATCTTCTAAATCTTGAAATGATTGCTGGTGACATATTTTCTTTTTACTAGTTGCCCGGACACTTTAAAGTAAACATAAAATACTGCTGTAAACTGTAACTAGGTGACTTACCTGTAGCCCATGGGTTAAATAATAATATGAAATCATGCAGTTTGACACGGCTCTTCTTATTTTTGGAGTAGATGATGATGTTTGTTTTGTAAAGACCAATCGATGCATCTGCTGGACTAGTAATTATGACATTCACATCGGAGGAGGAGCGTGAGTCTGTGGTAGCTGTCCAGTAAGTGTCCCCTCCTGAGTTGGAGAGCTCAAATACAGTTAGAGTATAATCGGCCTCCTGAGGGTTTGGGCCTGGAAAAAAAGGATATAGAGGTTAATTTATTGTAACCTTTCAACATCTCGTGGAGTCACGAGGCTGCCCAACGAAGTCATCTCGTGGAGTTACCTCGTGGCCCAACGAAGTACTGATGGGGTGGTCATAATAATCTGGCCACTGTGTACATACTGTATATAGGTCACCTAATAAATGTAAGTAATTGTCCAAAAACCTAGATGATGCTTAGTGATTTTTTTTGTATCCAGACTATCTATCCACTTAGGTAGGCCAAGGTTAACAAACAAGCAAGTATGGCATTTTCCAGAGGGGATACTGTAGAACAGCTAAACTCCCGCAGGATTTTAATAATATATAAGCTATAATGAATGCAAATCTCCCCACTTATACTATTGCCTTCAGTGCAAAAACAACACCCTTTCTCTGTGCCAGCAAACTTGGGTCATGTACAAAAAAGTAGACTGGTATTTGTTATTTACTAATTTTGCACTGTGATTATTCTGTCATAGCTTTTATTGGCAAGTTGAAGTGACAAAAGCTCACAGCATCCAAAGCTGCTCTTTAATTTTTGGAAGGATTGGGTTAGGATAGATCATCTTGAGACAGTTTCATCACAAGATTATCTTGTGAAGGTCATCTTGTGAAGATCATCTTGTCAAGGTTCAGTCCAATCACAGCAAGCATTCCTAACTCATGCATTCCAAGGGCCTAACCATTTCTGTTGGTTAGGCCCTTGAAACTGTTATAGAGGCAAAGAGTGGGCCAACTCGGACTAAGACTGGGATGCCGTTAAAGTTCATGTGCATGTAAACCCACTGTGAGTGTGTATACGTGAAAAAATTAATAACTGAATGTGCTGAGCTACAACAATGAGCAATACAAAAAAAGCAATAAAAGACTCTGTGACTCATAAACAAATGTCAGTGAATAACTAATAAATAAATCAGCTGTGAAGTCTGTAAATGTTCATAACTCTGAAGATATGTCCATATATAAACAGCAATAGTGAGGAATATTTCTTGTTCCTTCACCAAATGCACCACACCAGATATAGGGGTGCTCACCTTATTGATAGACCCCAACAAAAGGTCAAATCGGTCAATTCCCTTCTTAGCCAGGGGAGGGGACTCTCAACTCTAATCACTCACAGATGTCCTTTTAATAATGTAATCAAACCAACCAGTTTGGATGCTATGTGCTATGGTGTTTGCTTTCTCTTTTTCGGTAACACGTTCCTGGTATTGACATCCTATACTGAGGAGGCGCCCTACTATTTGATAAATATTGAAGGTTATTGCTTCCCCACTAAAGAAGTATAAAGGTGCCCATACACCTTACGAATACCGGCCGATTTTCGCATGCAATCGCGTTTCCGTCCGATATTTGTAAGGTTGTTGGGCAGTGTACAATCGCAAATACTGTACAATTGATCGACCTTTGACTAACCAGCAGGTTAGAAAACTTCGGTCGATCGTACAATTTTTACCTTGCGATAATCAGGGCAGTATGGGGCTGCCATTTGAAAGTCGTACGATGGTTTGATCATCGGACGAAAAGTGTCGTCCGATGATCGCAAGGTGAATGGGCAACTTTATGCAGATCTGTCTGCTGGTTTGATTACATTATTGGAGGACATCTGTGAACGATTAGAGTCAAGGGTTCCCTCCCCGGGCTAAGAAGGAAATTGCAAGATTTGACCTTTTGTTGGGGGTCTATCAATAAGGTGAGCACCCCTATAACTGGTGTGGTGCACATGGTGCATTTGGTGAAGGAACAAAAAATATTCATCACTATTGCTGTATATATATATATATATGGACATATCTTCAGAGTTATGAACATTTACAGTATTCACATGTGATTTATTATTTATTCACTGACATTTGTCAGGTTCTTTTATTGCTTTTTTTGTATTGCTCATTGTTGTAGTTCGGCACATTCAGTCATTAAGTGCAGGCCTGACTGCTCCCGTACTGCAGGTAATTCATCAAAGCCAGTAATTGGTGAAGGGAGGGTCTTGGGGGAGGCATAGAAGCACAAGAAAAGGAAACCAAAAGAAAGCACTAATAGTAATCGCAAAGAACCTGCGCTAATGGAAGTAATAAAATAATATAATATTTATAAAAGTAGATAAAAGAGATAAAAATTTTAATTTAAAAATAGATTGTTAAAAGAAAGCACTGTCAAGAGTTTTATGGGTATGTTTATACTGCAAATGCTATGAAATATCATCAACGTTCAGTCAGTATCTGATGACCACATTGAGTAAATGATTAAAGTTACATCAGAATATCTTTACACTTTACCTGTAGCAACATAGAATTCCACTTGTTCTTGTTTTTGGATGGGTCTGTTAAAGTGAAGTATTATCTTGAATTCCTGCCCTCTCCTCAGCACCATCTTGTCGGTGTTGTAGTAGTCAGTCTGGTGTTCATGCATGTTTGACATCTTCTCCATGCTAAAGTTCTTTAGCTTCAAGGCTATAGTCAGATTTAATTCAGGCAAAATAAAGTTTACTTCAGGCTGTCTCCATAATATTAGGACAACTCCTATATAAACGTATTCAGTAGATGAGTTACAAAACCCAAAGTTGAATGTCCACTTCGTTTTAGGAGAGGTTTTTTTTAACCTTTTTGACATTCTGCTAAGGACAGTTATCATATTTGAACCTTATTAATTAAAGGAGAATTATGGGGAGAGTGAAATACTCTATTGATCGAGAACTGATCGATCACATACTGCTGATCACTCTGTTCCTGATCATCCCTGCAGATAGGGGTGACTGTCAGTCCCCACCCCCGAAGGGATTCCATCCCCCCTCTCCATTCCTCCAGCGCTGACTGGAGGGAGGGATGGAGAGGGGGTGGGCTCTAGAAGCACAGCCGGCTGTTAATCAGGCATCGGGGTGGCTGCCAACAATATTGTCATGATCTGTGCTGTCAGCATATAGCAGGCAATAGCATATGCTGAGTTTTGGGTCACAGGAGGACATTAGTGTATGTGTGTTAAACATACATAGTTTTGTTATATCTGTTCAATAAGGGCAAACATGCTCTCTGTCTGTTCTGCACTTCTATCAGTTACACTGTTTCCAGAAGAGAAGAGATGGAGGTGTCCTATTCTTCTGTCTTAGTGTGACAACGCTGCTCCTCTAGATACTTTATGGGGAGTGAATGTTGTCACCCCAGGACAGGAAGTGTATTAATGGCAGGATCACCAAGTCAAATCACCAAGGATAAAAGGACATAAAAAAGAAAACCAATATAGCCACCACATCTAAGTGCTTTTAAGCTGTAATATATAACATGTAAACATTTTTCTCTTTGGGTTAGAAACACTTTAAGGACTTGGACTGGTTACTGGCTAATGTTTTGACTCCAGTATTACAAGGCTTATTAGTAGGGATCCACCAATACTGGTATCGTTATTGGTGCCGATACCGAATATTTGGGCGAGTACTTATCCAAATGCTCCGATATATACCCCAATACAGGAACTTCCGGTCAGAGGGAGACTCCCTCTGACTGGCAGTGCTGCGAGGCAGCATGGAGACAGCTTCCTGATTGGCTAGGAATCCGGCTTCTCTTGTTGCTAGACAGCCTGGCTTCTTGACTAATCAGGAAGCTGGGTGGCACGTTATAACCCACCTCCTGCCTTCCTGATTGGCTAGGAAGTCGGCTTCACTTATCGCTAGGCAGCCTGGCTTCCTGACCGATGAGTGGTCAGGAAGCCAGACTGTCTCGCAGTGTCACGAGGGAGCGTGAAGCCGGTGTTCTTTTGATAGAACACCGGCTTCCCAGGAAATCAGGCTTCCTGATAACCCGGGCCCACAGTACCCCTGGGTTGTCGGTATCGGCATTCGGTTTCCACGAGTATTGAAAACAAATATCGTACTCGTACCGAGAAACTGGTATCGGTGCATCCCCACTTATTAGTATTATATCAGATTTCCTGGTCATATACATTCCATGATTAATTTAATTATAAACTGTATATTTATATAGAAATATTTACCAGTGACACATACATTTCTAAATATCCCTCAAAGGCAAAGGCAGGATAATTGTTATATTGATTAATCATTAAAATGTTATACAGATTGCTCTATTTAGATTTACAAAATCTTATTGCTGGGGTGGTTAAGTAGTTAATCAACAGACCACTTTACTTTTCCATGCTGAATGAGCCTAGATATTAATAACTATTTTTAATTTGTATAATATAATTCTGGGTTTTTGAATTAATAGGTATAAAATAGTAATACAAATATATTGATCCCCAGTTCACTTTATAGGTTGTAGGAACAATAAGCAACACAAATTAAAAAGCTAGACATTACCTCCTTGCTAGCTTTTAGAAAAATAGTGCACCTATATTTCATACACCTTTAAACATACCCAATAAGCCAACCTCAACCCAAACTTTTTTTTTAAATAGTGTGAGAGCTATGGGTGACCCTATTGGAGAGATTTCCTCCCACCGCCCATCACAGTAACAGGGTTTGACAATGAGAAGAAAACATGGACATTTTTTCTAATGTTGACAGAGGAACAAGCAAAAAAGAGAAACACTTGTTTTTTTTCTGTTCTTTTAGGCTTTTAGTATTCTGAAGTTCAACATATACTTTTGTAGAGACAGGGACAGGTGCCTGTTCATAGTAGGTTGGGTTGGATTTGAGGACTGGCATTTAAGACTCAGGGTGGTGTGTGCACTTCTTCTTGTGTATCCACTATTTTCATCTATAATTTGTTTATTAACGTTTAATTGTTTTGTCTTGTGCTGGTGCTGTATTGGAGCCTTTGACCTTGGAGGCAAACACAACCAACTCTTTAATGGTAGGAACAGATTTCTGTAGCCTAAGTGTGACAAAGTGTACCCCACAAAAGTGTGCCATAGTGGCACAGTTACTAGAAGGCACGGTCAAAGGTGGGTGTTCCTTAAAGACATGGTTTATTTTGAGGCACCCTTTCACATCTTTCAGAAGCAGTTTTCTTTAGAGCTCTCGGCATTTGGTCACATGCCATCTCAGAGCTTCAAACTGCTGGAAGACTTCACTCTGCCAGAGACAGTAACTGAAGATCTAAACAAGGTAGCTATGTAATCAGTGGCGTAACAATCACCATAGCGACCCAGGCGGCCGATATGGGGCCCGGGGCACAGGGGGCCCGGCCAGATTCCGAGCGGACCGCCTGGGTCACTATGGCATCCTCTGCTGGTGACTTTCACTGGCGGCTCTGAAGAAGAATACGCTGCTGTTCAGATCACTGACTGTAATCTGTACAGCAGCGTGTTCGTCTCCAGAGCCGCTGCTGAGTCAAGCGGTGGAGGAGGCTGGACCCGGCAGGGGAGGAGGAAGCTGGGCCTGTGGTCTACAGAAGGGGAGGAGGCGGGGCCCGGTGACGGAGGAGGAGGCGGGCCCATCAGCGAGCGTGGAGGAAGAGGAGGCGGACAGGTAAGGAGTGCGACCAGCCCACCTGAGGGTAACCCTGCAGAGCCCACCATAGAGAGTCTATGGTGGGCCCTGCAGGGTCACTCTCAGGTAGCCTGTGTGGGATCTCAAGTGGGCTCTGCAAGGGGTATAACTAGAAATCACAGGGCCCAATATAAAATTTAGCTATGGGGCCCTGTGATTTCGAGTTACACCCCTGTATGTGTATGTAATGTCCACAACATGTCACTTAATATAGATCTTGCTTTGGCCAAGGTCTCAGTAGTGGAGTATCTCCTTTCAGGGCCACCAGCTCAGCATAACTAAGTAGCACTGGCCTAGAGGACAAATTCTCCTGTGCCCCCCCCAGCCCCCCCCCCCCACCCCCGACCT